GACAAGCATTGCTGTTGCATGTCACGAACTACCTACTACGTAATTTAGGTTTCGGTTTTACTTGTCTTTATTTTTTCTTTTTTTTTTTCATTATTACCTTTATAGTTCTGAATTTATGCAGCCGATAAGTTAATTCTCTTATTTTTCGATAAACTCAATCAAATTTCTAAAATTATCTTAGGATTTGAAATTTTGTACTATTAAAATATTCCATTTGTAATTTTTTAATTTCAATTAAAATATTTATGAAAATTTTTTGATTAAATTTAGGTGATTTTGCGGTCTTAATCGAATCTGGCCTTTCAATTCGTCGTGCTATGTTCCTAAATTTCCTTTCTTCTTTAACTGCATATGGAGGCTTATTTCTTGGCTTAGCAGCAATTAGTGTTGATAGTGCAGTGGAGATATTACTTGCTATAACAGCTGGAATGTTTTTATATGTTGCTTGGCTTGATATGGTATGTTAAGGTTTTCCTTTTTATCCTATTATTCTATCAGTATTAATTGGAATGAAATTTTCAGAGTTTCAATTTTACATCGATAATTCAATTGGGATAAGAAAAAAGAAAACGAATATCTAACTTAATTTAGTTTAATTCATTTAGCTTACTTTTGATAAAACTTACGATTGTATCTTTATGAAAAAGTTTAAAAAATGCTTTAAATTTTTTTTTTTATAGTTGATACATTTGAAAAAGGAATCAACATCAACGAATGATAAATGGCATACGACATTGCTACTTCAGAATATCGGTTTCATCGCAGGATTCTTGATTATGTTTATAATTGGTTGGTATGAGGAAGCACTTGCGAAACTTTAGATGTTGATAGCATTTTCGATAACTTTCTTTTTTTTCCCCTTGTTTTTGCTGAAGTTAAATTTTATAGTAATGAAAAAATGATTCATCAAAATTTGAAATTTTCTTTTGAATTTTGTTTTCATTTTTGAAAATTATAATCATTATGGGAACAAAAAGATGATGAAAGTAGCCTTTTTATAATTTTTCTTTTTTTTTATAATTTTGCTGGGAGAAAATATGATAGGAAAAGTTGATAAATGTTTCCATTTTTTTACAATCTTGAAATACTGTAATTTATATTATATTCATGAATATTTTGATCGATAATATAAAATTGGAGGATGTACTGCCAAGGAATCATTTAAATATTGTTATGCATTTACAATGATACTAATTCCGCCTTTCTTGATAATGATGGTAGCTTGTACAATTTGCGCCATTAGATTCCAACTAAATTTTAATTGCATAATTAGTTTCATCTTTATTTGCATTACAATTGTTGTGAAAGATTCTATTTTTGTTTAAAATTATTCCTGAAATTTTCAACTATCGTAAAAACTGCACAAGTTTTTGGTGTTAAATTTGTGTTGGATCAACTATTTAACTTAGTAGTAGTAACCATATACTTGCTCCCATTATGGAAATTGTAAAAACTCATTGTTGTTCTCGGTATATTAGCAACTATGCAAGTTTTTGTCTTTTTTTTTTTAACTTCATAAATACTATCATTTTTCTTTCGTTATTTGCCTCACAAATACTGCACAAGTATCTTTCGTTATTCGCTTCACAAATATTATACATGTTTCTTTCATTATTTGCTTCATAAATACTATATAAGTTTCTTTCGTTATTTGCTTCACAAATACTATTCATTTTCCTTTCGTTATTTTGCTTCACAAATACTATACATGTTTCCTTCGTTATTTGCTTCACAAATATTATACAAGTTTCTTTCGTTATTTGCTTCACAAATACTATACATGTTCCTTTTGTTATTTGCTTCATAAATACTATACATGTTTCTTTCGTT